AGAAGTGCATTAATGTACATAGTCACCGTTCAATAAAAAAAAAAAAAAAAAAAAAAAAAACACCCTGTGAGCGGGGTGGTGCCTGTGGCTCAGTGGGTAAGGCGCCGGCCCCATATAGCAAGGGTGGCTGGTTCGAACCCGGCCCTGGCCAAACTGCAACCAAAAAATAGCCAGGCGTGGTAGCAGGTGCCTATAGTCCCAGCTACTCAGGAGGCTGAGGCAAGAGAATCGCCTAAGCCCAGGAGTTGGAGGTTGCTGTGAACGGTGACCTCACTGAGGGTGATAAAAGTGGACTCTGTCTCAAAACAAACAAAAAACACCCTGTGAACTCACTTAAAAATACACAGCAGGCAGCAAGGTGCAGTGGCTTGTGTCTGTAATCCTAGCACCCTGGGAGGCCAAGGCTGGAGGATCTCTTGAGCTAAGGAATTCAAGACCATCCTAAGCAAGAGTGAGACACTATCTCTACTAAAAAACAGAAAAATCAGCCATGGGTTGTGGTGTGTGCCTGTAGCCATGGCTACTCAGGATCCTGAGGCGGGAGGATGGCATGAACCTAGCCAGAAGTTTGAAGTTGCTGTGAGCTAAGCTGATGCCATGGCACTCTAGCCTGGGCAACAGAATGAGATTCTGTCTACAAAATAAATAACAAATAAAAGTACACAGCACATCCCAGACCAGGCAGGTGGGGCCCACAGAAGCTGGCAGGGCAGAGAGAGGCACAGTGGTGAACATCTCTCCACTCTCCTCCCTGCTCCAGAACTGCCAGCATCTGGGTGTGAGCCCAGTCCCTGTGCCCCTAGGACTTTCACCCACTGTCCCATCAGACCCTTGCTGGCCTCCACCCACGCTTTGCCCTGCAGATCCTCAGATGTACCCTTTGTGCTACCACAGCCTACTCCTGCTGCCACCTGGGGTTACCAAGAACACCCTCCACACACCAGGTACCCTTCAGAAGTGTCTCCTGGCCTCCACCCACACCCACCTTGGACCCTTGTCCAATCACAGACCTGTGCTACCCACACTGCAGTCCTGTCTGGTGCACTCCAAGAGGGCCCCTCTGTGGACACCTGCTGCTCAGGTGACAGGTCCCCATGGCATTCCTCCTGGCGCCCCCACCCTGGTGGCCCCACCAACCTGGCAGCTGAGGCAGACCTGGGCTCTGTGTTCCACAGTGCTCTCCCTAGTGCCCAGGAACCGTGGACCCAGCACTCCCTCCACCAAACAGGAAGGGGAGGTGCGATGACCCACATGCAGCAGGTGGGCTACCTCCCCCCAAGTCCCATCCCCCTCAGACCCGGCTGGCAGGGGTCCCTGTTGTCTGGCATTTCTCCTCCGAAGGCAGCCCCACCCAGCTCTGGTGGCTTGTAGGGAGGGGCTGGCTGACCCTGGAAAGGTGCCATGTTGAGGTGGATTCTCAGCTAGGGCTCCCCTCTACCGGGACTCTGCACCAGGCGGCCAGGCCAGGCCACCGCCGGAGGGCGAAGTGGAGCCGCTGGCCTAAGTCCAAACGTGGGGGTGGGGGGCACATTCACGCACTTGGAGGGGTAGGAGCCGGCAGGTGGGCGGCGTCGGTCCTCAGGCTCTGCCTGCCTGCCTGCCTGCCTAGCCTGGCCTGGGCTGGGCTGGGCTGAGGTCACCAATGTAGGTCGGGCCCTCAGGGGCGGCTGCTTGCAGGCCTGGAGTCGGGTGCGCACGCGCTTGTCGTTGGGGAAGTCTGGGGCTTTTACTCTCCGGAAGGCGCCAGACCCGCGCTCCTATGCGGGTTCCGGGCTGGGGGTACTACGTCCACTGGCGCTGCCACCTTCCACTCACCTTTAGCCCCCGCGAGCCGGGGTGGCCCTTTCGCTTGGGGAAGGTGACTCTTTCCTTTGTATTTGGCCGAGGCCACCCGAAGTGACGCGTGGGAGACCTTCAGACGGAGTTATCCTCCCCAACCCTGGCGCTGGCCACGCGCCCTCTCGTCACCCAAGGAAGCACCAAGCACACGGGGGTGGCCCTGTGTCCCGCCCCGAGCGGCGAGGCCGAGACTAGGCCGCCTTGACCGGCTTTCGGCCAGGGCCCCTTTGGCGCCGCGTCTCCTGCGCCCGGCCCGACTGGCTTCCTGCGCCCGCCGCTGGGACCTCCTCCCCGCAGTGCGAGGACGCTGCCAGGGCACTGGGACGCCGGGCCGAGGCAGGGGACTCGGGACTAAGGGGAAGGGCGGGGCCCAGGGTAGGGCCAAGGAGGGAGGGGCCCAGCACGGGATCGGGAAGGGGGAGGGGCTCCGGGGTTGGCCCCGGGGCAGAGGTATGGGCCCCCAGGCAAGAGCCGGGACAGCGTTCCCCGCGGCGCCCCCTCTCGGGTGCTCCGCGGCCGGGACACGCTCCTGGGCGGCGCGGCCGGAAGGCTGCACGCGTGCCCCTGCCCACGCCGGCGGCTCCGCAGTGCGCTCCCAGGCCGGGTGCCGCAGGCAGGCGTGGGCTCGCCCGGGACACGGCCGCGCGCCCT